TAAACCTGACCTATCTGAGTCTTCAGATATGATATAAATATGTTTAAATCAAATAAAGAGTGTACTGATGCTAAAAAAAAAAAAAAAAAAAAAAAAGCAATGATGTCACATTTATGTTTTGATTCTTACAATGATTATCCAATCAGAAAGCAGAATGAACCTCACGAGTCTCTTTGTGTTGTCAGTTTCAATACAGAATCAGTGCGTTTAAACCTAAAATGGCTCTGATCTGAATGGTCACTACCTAAACCCCAGCACATGCAGACAGTCCTGACTCAGTGCTAGTGGAGCCTCTGCAGCTCAGGGAGAGAATTCTGGAGGTTCTGAGCTTTCACACACAAGGCATGAGTTGTTTGTCTACAGAGAATGAGAAAATCCTGTGTGCAGGTTTAGGCGTATGGCGTCCAGTTCAGTTATGACTGTAGTACCTTTTAAAAATGTAAGAGCACAGCCTGCATACAATTGCTTTAATTTTAGTTTTGAGTATGTTATTTGTTCATTCAAATAAAAGAAACACAATCAAAATGCTGTACATACACTTTTATATAAATCAAAGCTATAATACAGAAATCAGTACATGCAGACAACAGAACTGTGAACATACCACCAAAGGCTCAAAGTAGCAGACATCTACTTATTTCAATCATTTAAGTAGAATCTATCATGAAAACAGTCAGTGAATTCAAAGAAGCATACATACATACATGATCTGAACGTCTCTGTAAGCCCTGTTATTATGGCTCACTTAATCTTTCCCAAAGACAGTAATTCAAGACAAACCCTGTACGTCTGAACCATTTAACAGAAAGTAATCTTGATTTTCTGTTGTATGTGTTGCAGGAGTTAAGCAGAATCGGCACTTCCTTTTTTCAACATAGAAACATGTTATATAACATAGGTGTCATTTAAGTGTTAGCATGAGCAACAGTTAAAGCTGTAGTAGGCCATGATGTGTAATGTGTATCACTGCGCAAGAATAGATTTGTATGTCTTCAGTTTGGAGAAATCTAGCTAACCAAAACAAGATATTTTAAGGTGAAACACTGCAGAGATAAATTTGAAATTTCTCTAATTTATCTAAAAATGTAAGAAATGATCATGTAATCCTTTACTTTAGAAATTATCCTTCTGAAAATTGAAAAAATAAATAAGTAAAAATTAAATGCTTTAATAAATCAGGCCTAGAATTAGATATGAACAAGTACAAGATTGTAAAGTTTGGTGTATAAAGGTGCTACACTGATGGGTGACCTTTGTAAATGCATTTTGAGAATATGATCTATGAAGTTACAATGTCTCATAAAAACAAGTGTATTAAATTAACTAGTAAAACATACTGAGATGCAGACTGGGAGATAAAATGAATTAGATGAATTAAATAAATTAAATGTGCTGTCGTCGCTTCAAAATTCCAGGGGGACACAGGTCACCCTTGCCTTGTCTCTTTAAAACTTGCCTACTACAGCTCTAACAGACGTGGACCCCTATGTGTTGCCGTAGACACAAACCCTTTACTTATTTATGAAGTGTAACTTGAATGAGTGAAAGGAAAGTACAGTTTTCGCACCATGCCCCGCCCTTGTGCTGTGGGTGCCGCTGTGGTCGGGAGCCTTGTCACCCGGCTCCATCGCGCAGCTCACAGAATCACACAGGCGGCACTACGCATGGGCAGGTTTGTGGGCAGCTTGGCATACTCCCTGAAGCTGTTCCTCTTGTTGTTGATTAATGGCCCGGGAATCTCCAGGCCGTCCGCAGGGGGCGTCGTCTCGGTGGCGGCGTTGCCCTCTGGCGCTTCCTGCTTGGCCCCCTTGTTGTTTTTAGTCTTTTTGGCTCCCTTCTCCGGGGGTTCAGCAGACACGGTGCGCTGCTCGTTGGCGGCCTCTGGTGGCGAGAGCGCATCCATGGGCAGGTCACTGGGGCTGGGTTTGCCTTCTGCTTGCTCCTCACTGCTGGTGATGTGAACGTTAGAGGCCATGCGCTTGGCATTGGTGCTGGTAGAGCTAGCACAATACACACACACACCACACAATAGTGTTTTCAGTTCACTACGGCTAAACTCGACGACTAAAGGTGACTACATTTACCACTAGGTTATACTGAAGCGTGTTTCCATGGATGTGTTAGTACTCCCTCAAACTACAGATGGATGATGCCACAAGTACAAGTACTAGTACTTTTTGGGAGCAATTTTTGTTATACTGATACTCAAGACTCCAGGGGTTTCCAACCTTTTTCCTCCAGTGAGCTACTTTTAACAAATGAAAATACCAAAGAGCTCCTCATTTTAGCGGTCACCAGAAACTGAGTAAATTTAAGAGCCACAATCTTAGATGGGGCACAGTTAGATATTTATATGTTTACAAATTTACAACATGCACAAATTTAGTCATCAAAATGATACAGTTACAATGATAAAAGCCTTCAATCAATCCAATTTTAGTTGTTCAGCACAATACGTATAACTCAGAAATCCGTTGGCGAGCTACTTGGAAGGGAGAGGAGAGCTACTGGTAGATCCCGAGCTACAGATTGGAGACCCCTGCAATACTCTAACGCTGTGGTGAAGGCATTTCAATAAATATATGTATACATAAGGGACAGACAGATGAGTCAGACCCAAATGCCGCTGAAGGTGTTTGACATAAAACAAAGAACTGTCCCCAGCATGTTCATAATTGATGCTTAGTCTTAAATTGTACATATTTTAATTAGTATAGATATTTGCATAACAGTACTGATACACACATTTGTATTTATGAGTCAGTATCAATATCAGTATCGATGAATAGATACTGATACTCCCATTTCTAGCTCACAGTATCTGTTCTGAGCAGATTTTGAATGCCCTTGTTTCCTTACACAGTTCAGACACTAGTGACTTTGATTATTTTAAATATTATACATTTTTTAAATTGCTTTCCTCCCATGTATTTAAGCACATGCATGTTGTTTTACCCCAGTACAGATAGATTGTAGAAGCAGCTCTTGAGGTCAAAATAAGTCTGCTGTGTACGGTTTGGATCTAATTAGGAATTTCATTCTCTGATTATCAGGAGGTGCACATTAGCATGCTAGTTGTTGTTGCTTAACCATCAAAGCAAAAACTCCACTCCACTGTTGTGAAAATTACTCATAGGGATGAATAATTAGGACGGTTGGTAAAGGTAACTGAGGAATAACTTTGTACCACTGCAAACTGCAATAAAATGACCTAGTCCTGTTTTTGCATTTTTAAGACAGTAAAACATCACGTATTGCTTCTTTAAGGCAAGTTAAGATGTACTTATTAGAAAGTATAAGCAATTTATTCATAGTTGTCCCTACCCCTGCCAAAGTCTATTATAAGCTGCCAGAAAAGCAACTTCTTATTTGTGGACTAATCACTGTTTGCACTCCTTTTCTCCTTGGCTCTCTTAGCAGCACACTCATCAGGGCTGGCTGTGGACATCAGCTGTCAGCCCGCAGATACAAACAGTCCTGTCTAAATGGGATGGGACTTGAGGGCATCCGAGGGCCCTCTCCTTGATGGGATGGACGCGTTGGCAGTGCAAAGCATTGTGGGAGCGGTGCTGACAGTGTGGAGTGCCTCCAGAATGGGGCCTGTTGTTGACAGCTAACATTTAATCCAAGTTGCTCCTCACTCCCTCTTTTTTTTTTATCACTATAGCGCTTTTCGTTCCAAGCTTGCAGCAGCGTTCTTTATTTTTATTTTATTTCTTTTGTCTTCTGAGGTCTCCCATTGCAGTCTCTTCTACTGCAGGCCCAGGGTCCATTTCATCTTTGATGTTGTTAGACCCTTAGGTCCAGTCCGTCTGAAAGAGGTAACTGCACTTTTAGCGCAGGATCATGTACACTAGAATCACTAACAGGCACATACCCCTTGGCTACATATGGAATACTGTATTTTTTATATCTCCCGAGAGTGCGACTGGCTAACCATCAAGGGGTCTCTATCCACATCATAGAGATGAACAAAGGCTTTATGTCAAATACATATTAGTATAGCATTTACATTAGCAGATTAAGTCAGTATATTTTCCTACATTACATTATGCATCACAATGAAAGTGTACAAATTAGTTTACCTTAATTATGTCAACAACATACTAGACGTGGTTTTCTAACTTGATTCTGACATAATTTAAATTTTCCGGTTTGAATGTTTTTTATATCAGGTAGAAAAAATATCTAATTTATGATAGTTCATATAGAGGCAAACCTAGTCTGGCTTCCTAAAGTTAGCCTTTAGGCAAAGCAGTCTGCATTTAGATTAGAAGGACAGTTCACATTATTGCTGAAAAATAGAAACTTTCCTCCAGAAGCATTCAAATATAAATAGACTTCCTTATTTTGCTGGTATACTGAAAAGCCTTATAACGTATCTTTTTTTTTTTACATTATAACTTACTAATCCAGTTTTTGTATTTTCAGAACCTGTCAGCACCTTGTTTTCTGCACATCTTTGACTCAAGTCCACCACTGCTTTCCTCCCACCACCTTTTGGCAGGTATTCACTTCCCAACACAAAAATGACAAATCCTTATGCAACCAACACACAGTACATTTCATCGTGTACCATAACATGTCAAAACAAAATGACAGGCAGGAGGCAGAGCTGTAAATATTCATTGTGCTACTACTTTGGCTACTTCTTGTTGTATTGCCATAGTAACAAACTAATTTCCCTTTGGTGTTTGAGGGTGACAGAATCAAGTGTGACCAACTCAACAGCTCTTGTGGTGTTATAAATACATTTGCATTTGGACTTACCTAAAGAGTCCAGGGGATGTACGCTTTCTAGTCATGTCTTATAAGGCTCCATAAATTAATATGACATTCAGTCTCCAAAGAATGAGATTATGATGCTATCAATGTGACATTTAATACCCCAGGCACAAAGCAGTAATATACATCAGCCTTGTTTCTTTTGGCTGGCATTGTCAGTCACACAAATTTAATTCCCGGCTCCTCACATACCAGACAATAGAATTTCAAAGGTTATGGGTGAGTGGAAATGAGTTAAGCAAGGAAAGATGAAGAAGGCATCTTTAAGAAAATGTCATTATGTTACTGGAGGTGCATACCAAAGGAACTTGATTTCCGTGGAGACATAAGTATAAAGAAGTTTTGTAAAGCAGATATAAATAGTTGTATATTAGAAGCATATTTTTACTCTGAACTAAATATTTATGTGCTCTTATTTCACCTACTATTGCAATAGTAATTGAATGTATTAATGAATGAATTTGTTTCTTGTAATAAAACCATAGCATATTTATTTATTAAGTATTTATTTGGTTACACAACTAAACAAGTCCATCCCTTCACCCCATCATGGTAACTCTCTCAAGTATACAGTGTCCAGCTTTTTATACAAAGGTAAAATAAATAATAGATCTTAATAATGCATTTTATTAAAGAAAGTGTGGTGGAATTATTTCTGAATGTGCACACTAAAGCATCACCAAGATTATGGCAAATTGCGTTTCCTATCTGCATGTCTCCCTTTGTGAGGATCTGAGCACCAAAACTTATTCTCCAATGAGATCATTAGGAAAGGAAGAGCTGCAGGCGACCATATGGACACAAACCCCACTCAGCCTGGTCTATTATTTAAATAAAGACTCTAGAAAACACCAGTGGGACTTTCTACCATATGTGGCATGACGATTGACAGTCACCAGCACCAAAACAAAAGGTCTTCTTTGTTGGGAGTTGCATCGACTCGTAGGACTGACTCTTCCATGTTACAAAGATGAAGCCACAGAGGAAGCTACCAGTGCTGAATAACAATGACATGCAATCCGACTGCAAGAAGACACATCACCTTTATAACGAATGCCATGAACAGACGTAACAATAGGAAAGAACGCAAGGCAGTTTCAAATATGCCCTAACAATATTGTGCAACATGCTCAGTTCCTATTTCATACTAGAGTTATTGTAAAGTCATTATCACATACAAGTACAATTCCAGAATTGCATTATGGATAAACAGCTCATTAGAGAGTACGTCAGACCATTTAAATTCAGATATACAGATGATTGACTGCAATGACATCAAGTCTTTAAAAGTGCCATCATAATAATAATGGAAGCGAGACACCAGAAGATGAGGATCAACATTAAAAAGCAATGGAATCGAATGGCCTGTGGCGAGCTTTGGGATGCTAAAATATGCACAGCGAGTTATGATTATTATCCCTCTCTATGAAGCTAATGGAGCAAGATTATTTGGTTTTAAATAAAATGCATCTCTGGATAGTGGTTTTCATTGTGCCTCTGTAATCGACTGTGTAAAAATAATGTGATTGCTAATGTTGGTATTGACTATAAAATATTCTGGATTTTCAGGGTTTTTAAGCTTTATTTGGTACAACTTTATAATGAAAAACCTATTCTGGCCTAAATCAAATTTACACGCCAGCCCAAGATCTCCAAAAGTCAAAACAAAAGCTTTAGAACTTTTCAAGGTAACCTCTTATTTATGAGAAATAATTGAGGAATATTCTATTCTTTCTCCTACTGAAAAATCAGGTAAAAAATTTCAGAAAAAACTAAATTAAAGAAATCAAAACAAAGGAAAAATACAGGAAAGAGATTGTAGCAAGTGTGCTCTTAGCCTCCCATCTATTCTCATTGTCTTTTAGATAAAGTCTGTGCAGGGGGTCTGCTACGGCACGCTGCGTTTGGAGCTCTATGCCTATTGGTGGGCTGCGAGAGGCGCTTGGAGACGCTTGAGAAGGCAGAGCACCGCTGGGCCTCCACTGCTTGTGTGTTTGCAGTCCAACAGCTCAGTCTCCCTGACAGAAATGCGTCCACGTTGACTGGCTGCGCTCAAAACGCTCCCATTGGAAAAGCTCTGTGGGGCGCAGGAGAAGACAAGAAAATATGGACAAAAACACGAAATTTGCTCATACAAAAGAAGCAGGGAAATTGTACTTGGTTTATTAAAAAGCAGTTCAATCAAGATCTCTTTGTGGTGATGGCCCTACGTGTTTTGAGACTGACATTTGACTTTTTTTGTTTTTTTGCTTTATTACCTCTCCCAAGAACAATGCTTTTTGTAAACTGTCTTTCCCATAACAAAAATGTTTATTCCTTCCTTAGTTGGTTATGTTCAAAATGCCCTGACTAAACTCAGCGGGATGCATGAGTACACAAGAACTGAGTAACATTTTTTAACTGTAGAAATGGAACATAATGGTAGTGACAGAAATAATCCAACCAAAAGGATTCACAGTTCCAAGCCTCTTACTGGTTTGATGAACAAATAGTGCATATCAGTATATGTAACTGCAACCCAGACAGAAGCAAAAGACATAACTGTTTTAGTCAGACTTGTTTTCTTCAATTGCCTCTTTTATTTTTGTCTCATTCATTGCATCTCTTCCATACTGCCTCATCTTGTCTTCTCTAATACTTCCATTTATCTGATTGCATGTGTTTGTGGTTAAGAACAGTGGCAGGCCTATAGACCATAATGGCGCGTGCAATTTGTAGGAGTCACACAGAACACTGATTGCCAATAATGATGAGCTAGCTCGGAGAGACAGAAGCCCAGATGAGTTGGTGATTGGTGCCGTGCTGACTAGGGGATAGTGGGGAGTACAATGTGTCATGTGCCATTACATATCTTACTGTGTTGCCTGTAACCCTTATGCTAATTAATGTTGATTTATGCCTCATTATGGAGATTTATAACAGGAAAACAGAAGTGCCTTGAGTGAGTGAGAATTTGCCTATATGAAGACATCATGTTGATCTTTTTTACTAGGCTGTACCTATGGACTGCCTCTTTGATAGACCTGTCACTATAACAAATTTAGAAGTATGATTTATTGGTGAAGCAAATACAGGCGATAAACGTAACATATAGTATTAAAACTAATTTATGCCACCGACACAAAAACTCAAAGCAGATTTAAACCATAAAAACTATTCTAAACATACAATATTGATAAGAAATCATGAGCTGTAATAAATAAACAGCAGAATGAAACATTTTAGTACTTAGTTTCCCAGTAATGCAAAGAAAAAGTACACACGATAAATACTGAGCCCCAAAATAGATTGTTCCAGCTTTTTATATATCGAATGATATGTAGATATAATAATTATTCTTTATCATGACAGACCTATTTATTGACAATTTATTAGGGATGTGACAATAACTGAAATATTCTTATATGGTATCGTCAGAGTTCTCCCTATAATATCATGGGTTGTCACAATATATCGAATTATATTAACTCTTTTATAAATTCTTAGCTTAAATTCATTGTTTTATTGTAGCAACTGTAAAACATAGAGGAAACTATACCACGATCTTCTGTTTCATTTAAATGCAGAAAACATGACAACAAATTTTCTATCTTAATTCTTTGGACTATGACATAAAAATAGCCCCAAAGGCTTGTCAAGGCTTCTTACAAGGAAAAAGTAGCATTTCTTCAGTTTTGTTAGCATCTTTACAATATTGCATTAAATATCGTATTGTGAAATTAATATTGCAATTTTATCATACCATGAGATTTACATATCGTTACATCCCTACAATTTATTATACAAAGTGACTTTGCTTAAGGCCATTAGCTAAGGATGGCATACGGGATATGACTACTGACTATTTTCCCAAAAGTCCCATTGATTCCTCAGACAGCTCTTATTTTGTGTCCAAATTTTAGTATGCCAAGGCAGCGGTGTGAAACTTTTTACAGATTGGTCATTAATCAAAGTGCACATGCATTCAACACCTCCTTGTGACACTGCACCTGTTCATTTTCACAGTGAAAGCTGTATGCTGATCAAACAACAATAGTTCAGTTTGAATAATTATTATAAAGTGTTTCCCTTTTCTTGTTAATGTATTAATTAAATGTTCAATTTTAGTACCATTACTTATGGATCAAGGATTTTTTAAAAATAATTACACAGTATATTTTGTATCTTACAGAAACTGAACCCAACACAAGGACATTACCCAAAGATACATATATATTTTACAAAATACATACGCACTGTCTACTCACCTGTAGCACCTGTGGCTATTGACTTTCTTTATTGAACAACTGAACAAATGCTGTATAAGATATGTTGTAATATACTATATTTTGCTTTAGACCTTTGCATTTTGTCCAGAGTAAGAGCAGAGTTTAAAATGATCCGGTCCAGCTTTAAAATTATACTAACCCAGCATAAAACGTAAAAGTTACAATTTTGCTTTCTTGACTTTGAATCGCAATCTAGCAACTTTAAATGTTTGGACAGGCCTCTGAAACATTTCCTCCTAAATTCTATATTTTCAAATACCCACTGAGTTAAATTATGTGCATATTTAATTAATGATCTTGGATGAAAAACAAAACAAAAAAAGTGTCCTCTAATTAATGAGAAAACTTCAGCAACAACAGATGTTACTTTGCAATCCCCTTGAGAGAAAACATTTGTCAGACCAACTGTACATTATTTGTTTAACTTTATTATAGAGACCTAATTGTTTTAGTTATAGGATTTTTGGTGTGATTGGCATCAGATTATGAATCATGTTAGCTCTTCAGAAATAAACACTAGAATATTTGCTGACCAAAGGGACGTATTTGTGACTGTAGTAAAAGATACAATATAGTTAGCTGGAGTTTTACAAAGTTAGGTAGGCGTTTCCGATGCAGTAACACCTGAAAAGCAACAACCGAAAAGAAACTCTTTCTCCTCTTCCTTATCTCAAACTGTCCTGGATTTATAGTTTTGGTCAGTGGCTATCATCCAGCTCTGATCCTCTGGACGGTGAGATAGTTTTACCAGCTGGCCTTTTTCCTCAAATCTTCTTTTACCTTGTATTGTTGCTGTATATCAGAGTGTTGTTGGTGCTGCTGGGGATAAAAAGTCCCAAATGGCTTTTTTGGAAGTGGATTGTTTGGGTGACAAAGCACATTTCTGTCAGTTAAACGGTTTGAGAGACTGGGAGAAAAGCTGTTGTGTTTTGTGGATGGGGTGGTGTGGGAATGAGCTGCTGACAAGGTTCCTCTTTAATTTGGAAAGTAACAGACAGGCAGATTCACTTGTCTGCATGGCCACTACATGAAATTGAATTTAGTCTATAGAGATGAAAAAATTGTCATTGATGGAAGGCCTGAACTGAATGGGCAGCACTGTAGTCTTTAACTAACACTATTATGCATGCATTTCAAGTACTTGCATATAATTTGTATTTGTAAGTCTTATTAAATTTACTTTGACAAGGACGTTTACAATATGCTAAAAATTTTCATGTTTTTCTCACTCATCAGCATCTATTCCATTCACACATTCTCTTTGTTTGAAGAGACTGTAAGTGATTATATAGCTGCTATTTTGGCTCCAGTGTGAATTCTTTGATCACACTTTCCGCCTGTCATCCGATAAAGACACAAGTGTGCAAGAACTGTTATCACATTCAGAGGGAAGCCAGTGGAAACATTGCCCAGAGGTGATTTCAAATAATGCTCTCAAAATGGAAGAAATGTAACAAACAGACATGTTTTACTTCCTCAGCATTATTTTTGACAAATCTAGTAAACATTTGCACTGAATAATGTCAAACCATAGTCATTTCTTTCTGCAAAATGTAAAATGGCGTTCCAAGATATGCGGGATTTATTATTTGAAGCTTCACACCTTAGATAGACAAAAGTAACCATTAGTCTAGTAAACTTTTAGCTATGTTGCAATAGTTTTAAGTAACCTATAATCAGATATTGGTATAAATAAATACATTAGAATATTATTATAAAATGTAAGTTAATATCAACAATATTAAGACACTTGTATATTGGATCAGTAATGAATTATACATGTATATTGCCTATTCATTACATGGATTTGAGGTTTAAGCTGCCCTTTTATTGTGTATTTTTACTTCCCATGTCTTATTGGTATGGAGTTTGCTTATAAGTTCAAAACGCCCTTGTAAAAGTTCAGTGAGGTTCAGTGAAATGTCAACTTTAAATGAGTTTTCTGCTTTGCATAGACACCACAAGCAGAAGATTAGCTCTTTTGGCTCACTTTCTATTAAGTAATTAACCAAAGTCACTGGGTTTGCAGTTCGGCCTCTAATGCCTTTCTTTAAGACCACTAATACCCCACTGGTGTGTGTTTTAGTGCTCTATCTATTAAGATACCACTTCTTTGTTTAACACTGAGAGCCTGCCGGGAAGCATCATCGTCCATCCTTTTTTCTGTCCTGTTTCACGAGGTCACTCAGTATTGTTTTTGATTGGCTGTGTGTCTAGTAACAACCATTCAAAGGCCACAGATTTGAGTTGAGTTCATTGAGTCTCCTCCCCTCTAGGTTGCATTCATTATAGATCACCCGCCCCCCACCTGCACAGCTTCATTACTTCCTCATTTAAGGCCATCTTCGCACTGCTGACTCTGAATTTTCTCTTCGCCTTAAACCTCTCTGCCTCCCCTATTCTTTTGTCTGCCTCCCTATCCGCCTTCAGTCATCCTCTAACCTCATCCCGCAAGCTCTCATTTTCACCATTAGGTAATTTAACCCCTCACTCAGGCCCTGTCCTCCCTGATAGTAAATGAGGGAGTGCAGTTTGTTGATTGCCTCTTAGTGCTAGTGTCAGTCTTTTGTGGGTCAGTGAGCTGTAGATTCCTCCTTACCACTGCAACCACCACTATCACTGCCATTAAACATTTTCTGATTTAAACCAATTTTGTACCTTGTAATAAAAATAGGTCTCTAGAGTGTATTTTTTATGCTTGAAATTGCAAAGTTTTACAGAATAAAACCATGTTAACAACTGTATTATTTCTTTCAAATGCTGACTTGCAGTGAAGATAGAAGTTGTGAGTTCAAGCTAAACTGCAAATTACAAACGATATACCTCCTGTGTAGTAATTTACATTGATTTGATTTACATTCCAGTCTTGGCTCTCTTTCATTTTC